TAAACTACATCAATTATGATACAAAGATACAAAATCAAGTAATACAGGTGAGAAAATGTATGAGATTGAAAATAACTAAGCGTTCAAAAAGGTTATTTCTAACAGTATTCTATTTTCTGAATAATATTTGGTTTTGTTGTATCATATTATATAATAATGGATAATTGTATAATATTTCATTGTTTTATATTGTATCATAATTGATATAGTTTAATGTGATGCATGTGTGTGTGTGTGTGTGTGTGACACACACACACGCACAGTAAACACACAGTAAAATACTGCTTTTATATTCTGGGTTTTGTTCTTGTTAGTACTTTACACTGACTCAGACCTTTGGTTAATTAAGCTTAGTATTGCCTACACTGATTGGCTGTGGTTCTCCAGGATTCAAACTGAGGACATTCCCAGACCAACTTGGACTTTCTAGGGATTCTACTTGTGACCTTCTGAATGCAAAGGAGAGACCCTTCCCCTTAAACTACTGAGCCACTCTAAGCCTACTGCTTGCTAATAAAATCCTAGAACAAACATTTTGTAGTGATGTTGAGGAGAAAATTAATAATCTCCCCCCCCCCTCTCTCTCTCTCTCTCTCTCTCTCTCAGGTTACGTTTCCTTAAGGGTGAATGGATTTGTTCCAGTTCAGTGGTGTAATGAGGAGGTGCTTCTCTGGAGCAAACCGTACAATGCCAAAATAATGCTACAAGTGTTGCTTTTAAAATGAGGTGTCAGGGTGCTTCCCATCTCATCTGAGCAGTCATAGAACTGTCAAGCAAACGTCAGTGCACAATGCTTATTAAAAGAAAAGGCATTCCTTTTTATTATGGCAAAATGAGCTACAATGAGCTACACTCATCCTCTAACAGGAAATTAACTGTATGCATGTGCTATTCATATGGACAGTTTGTGAAATCATATCCTATTTTGCAAATTGCAAATAAGTTGGTTTCATTCTATCAGATCAGTTCCACTAGGAAATAATGCACTGGTGTAAGTTTTTCTCCCTGGCTTGTGTAATTAGGTGATAAAATACACAACAGCATATTTTTTAAAAACCCCATTTGTAGCTATGTAGATTCAAGGCTTGCATACTGATTACCTAAAAACCAAAATACCTTAGAGAATTAATGTCAGGGGGGAAAGTAAAGACGAATAGTTTTTCAAAAGTAGGGGATACAAATGAAATAATAATAGTAGTAATAGTAGTAGCAGTAGCAGCAGTAGGTTTGAATTCAGGGCGATGGGTTTTTGATTTTTTGGAACTTTATGATATGGTACCTGCATGTTGGAATATTTTAAAGAAATACAGTATATACATCTCCACCCCATCATTCAGCCCGGACACTGAGGTCCAGCTCCGAGGGGCTTCTGGCGGTTCCCTCACTGTGAGAAGCGAAGTTACAGGGAACCAGACAGAGGGCCTTCTTGGTAGTGGCGCCCACCCTGTGGAATGCCCTCCCATCAGACAGCAAGGAAATAAACAACTATTTGACTTTTAGAAGACATCTGAAGGCATCTCTGCTTAGGGAAGTTTTTAATGTTTGATGTTTTATCGTGTTTTTAATATTCTCTTGGGAGCTGCCCAGAGTGGGTGGGGTATAAATAATTTGTTGTTGTTGTTGTTACTACTACTACTAACCAGATATGATTTTGATGGCAACACAGGATAGTCTGAATTTCAGCTATGTCTACATCTATCCCTCTGCTGCCTCTATTTTGATCACTGAGTGAATCTTTCACCACACAAAATAGTCCCTGCAAGACATATCACTGCGCAGGATGTTGTAGGAATATGGTGAACAAGAACTTGCTGTACTTCAACATTCTGCTTCATGCTGAGAATTCTGAAGTAGTTAAATTAGGCTTCCAAAAAGCAGCCATTGTACACACTTGGATGTTGATTGCAAGTATTATCTGAAGAGACTCATTCGTTGCATTTGAAGAAAATTGCTGCTATCTGAAAGGCCCCATTTTCTGCTTTCGTACTTTTTCTGATGGCTTCACAGCAGCTTCACCAGGAGGTAGGTGACTAAACAGCACCATCCCTTTCAAATGGCTGTTGCTTTATTTGGGGGGGGGGCGGGGAGGGAAGGAAGTGAAAGGAAAAACACCCACCCTAATGTCTGGGAAAGGGAATCTCATTCTATTTTGGAACAAAAGGACAGATTGCATTGCGGTTTGCCGTCACTCTGGTTTACATGCGCAAAAAGAATTATGGCAAGATGAAAGCAGGTTCTAGGGGAGAGTGTGTTGCCTTCCAGCTTCAGAACCTAGGGCTGTAGGGTCTCTTCAAGGGACCTGGTGGCCCTGATGAAAGAGTGCACTACACACAAAAAAAGACCCTGCTAATCTAACGATACAAAGGTGACGGGGAAAGGTGTCCCATACATGTGATCTTACCATACATGATGTAGAAAAGAAATACACATTTTCTTTTATTCTGATGTAATTCTTCCTTGTGATTCTTGTTTTGAGATGGGATTGTGGGTTTCCTGATTCATTCAGCCTTCTAATTGTTGCATTGTGGAGAATGGCTGTGTGATGCCAACCACCATCTACTGTCATAGAATCATAGAATTGTAGAGCTGGAAGGTACCTTGAGGGTCATCTAGTCCACACCCACCCACCCCCGCTTGCTTTCACAAAGGCTGGGTGAAACCAAATATGTAGTTGCCATCCCAGAATCCTAGTTAAATTCCTATTGAGTATGGTCCAGGCACCATGTTTAGGTCAACACGATGTTCTCTGATCTGTGTTGTGTGAGGAAACACACACACAAATATGTGTTTGAATTAAAATCGACATTGAATTGAATTAAAATTGCCCAAAGTTCTACCACAAAAGGAATTTTATTCATTTTTTAGTTCACCTGGAAATTATAGGAACAGGAACTACTTTCAGGTGTAATTCAGTTAATTTGTTCACCTGAATTAGTTTATTCCAAGCACTGCCCTCTGTGTCATTGGGGCACAGGTTACAAAGAGCAGATCTACATCCTCCAGACAGGGCACAACTAGAGCACCAGCCTCAATTGCTAGAAGGCTCTCTAGCCACTGACACCACCTGTGTCTCCATGGATAGCTTGATCCAATAGCTCCAGGACACAATGCTAAGATAGTTTTACTCAAAGACACTAGATTTGGGCAACATTTACCAAAAATACGAATGTGCGTGCAGTCTCAAAACAGATAAATCATAAGGCCTTTCAAAGCCTCCCCAGCAATAATATCATAGGTGCTATCTGGTTCCACAGGGCTTAGCAACACATAATGTTTGCATATGGCTGAGATCCTTGCCTTCAAACCAGTTTTCTGTAGAAAGGACTGCATGACAGTCATTATCTGCACTAGGGCAGGTATTCCTGAGAAGGGCTTGGCTTTCCTGCTGAGGCCAAGACAACTAGAAGAACCTGAATACCCATTAGCTGGAGTAATGAGAGAGTCTATTGCTTTGTGCAAGGATTGAAGACCTACATGTGGAAGCCTTGCCCAGCCAAAGATCATTATTCAAGCATATTTGTAAGCTTCCTTGAAGACCTAAATAGGGGAAAGTCTGGATAAATGGATGAGGGGAAGGGTAGGAGGGAACTATTTTGTAATAATAAGGGACACATCACATTATTAATTCCATTATGATTTCGCAATGGATAAAATGGCTGTTGCTCACCTGTTACACAATGAGGAATTTATTACATCATGTTCTTATTAGTTGTGGGTTTTGTAGGATCCCAATTTAGCTGCAACCTTACTTTATAGTACAGTATATGTTGCCTGAGCCAAGAAATTCATACTAACATAGGGTTGCCATACATCTCTAGCAGTGTCCGGGGGGAAATCTGGAAAAACGTCTGGAAAAATCTGGACATCTGGCAGCCTGATTTTCCATAAAAATAGTTCAAAAACAGCATTTCTGTCCAGATTTTCACTGTTTGAAATATGGTGACCCTAAACATCTTGAATCAACATATGAAGAACTATTTTTCTTTAGGGATTAGATCTCAGTTCCATTTGATTCCTTGGTGGGTAGGAGGATGAGAGATAACTGAATTCTCAGTTCCATCCATTAATATTACAGTAGAAAGGGGATATATATTATGTAGAGGGCTTACTGTATTTATACACCCATCACATTTGAAGGGAATATTTTGCAGTCCTTGCTACCCTGTTTAGTGGAAATAATTCATTAAAAAACATTACTGGTTAACTGTGCTTCTGTACACTCCTGTGGACACTTTAATCACATTATCAGAAAAGATGGGTGTAGGAATTTTAACTATTTATCAAATACGCACAAAGGATTAATATCTATTTTTGATAAAATTGTGTTGCCATTTTCCTTATTTTAATGTGACTGATTGTCTCACTTCCATTAAATATGACTATAAATAGCGTAAGGTAGGTAAAGGTAAAGGACCCCTGGATGGTTAAGTCCAGTCAAAGGCGACTATGGGGGTGAGGTGCTCACCTCCACTTTCAGACCGATGGGGCCAACGTTTGTCCACAGACAGCTTTCTGGGTCATGTGGCCAGAATGGCTAAACTGCTTCTGGTGCAAAGGAACACCGTGACAGAAACCAGAGCGCACAGAAATGCTGTTTACCTTCCCATCGCAGCGGTACCTATTTATCTACTTGTACTGGTGTGCTTTCGAACTGCTAGGTTGGCAGGAGCTGGGACAGAGCAACAGAAGCGCACCCCATCATGTGTATTCGAACCACCAACCTTCCGACCAGCAAGCCCAAGAGGCTCAGTGGTTTAGACCACAGCGCCACCCACGTCCCTAAATAGTGAACATTACAGTAACAGTATATTAGGGACAGCTTGCTCAAGAGATCCATAAAGGATTCTCTATATTGTAATTTGAACTTTTATTGCTTGGGAAATATTTAATTGGGCTATTCATCAATGAATGAAACATTTATTTTCCTTTGTATGGTAGCCGCTGATTTTCTAATGTATGGGTTGACTGTTTGCTTTCTGCAGTAAATATTTGCTTCCTGGTTGAACTGAAGATCTGAAATACTTTGGTTCAGAAGGTTAAACTACTTCTCTTTTTGAGTGTAACTGATAATTTTACAGAGCTCTACTTCTAGATAGCTGTGTGTATGTGTGTGTGTGTGTGTGTGTGTGTGTGTGCAGGCCACCTATTCAGACCACAAAGACACATTCCAAGGTTGTCTACAACTAACCAACCACATTAAACCTATATAAAATCACAAGCAAATCCTCCATAAATCTATGAGTTACAAATATAACCCCTGTGATACACAACACCAGTTTGCTCCAAAGACGATAGGAAATAAAGGTTTTATCTACCTGCCCGCCCCCTGCATTATGGACCTCACACTTTCTGATTCCCTCTTACTAACACAGGCAAAGCACCAGATGTTGAGAGATGACAGAGGGGCTTCCAGACTGAAGGCTGCTTTTTTAAATCTCTCATTCCAGAGCTCTCTCTCTCTCTCTGTGGTCTCAGAAGGTTAACCACCAGGACCAAGAGGCATATAAAGGCTCAGTTGGAATTGGCATTCTCATAACAAGTAATCTGCTCACAGTGACCTGTCCAGGGTCCTGAAAACCCTGTCTTTGGCTGCTCTTGCTCATGAACTATATCCTGCGCAGGCATGCTGTGGAATCTGGATCACATATTTGACTCTGTCTGCCCAGCCAATTCCTGTTTGTCTGCTGATCGCACTATTAGTCTACTGTGATTTGTCCATCCTTGGGATGTGGGCATGACACTAGTGTGGTTCCCTGATCCACAAAATGTTCTGCACTTTCCCACCAAAGAAAAGGAACCCCCACCACAACTTAACAAGTAGCTGCTGCCTAATCAGCAGTGACTCATATTGATGAGCCAGCCTACATCTGCCCCTACTCTCTTTCGCAGTGGATACAGCAGGCACCTATATCATCTGCAGGGGACCTAAATCCTGCAAACCCAATTTGTGCAGCTGTACCAACACACATTGTGCCAGCTGGAGCACAGGTTTAAGTACTGGGTACCATTTTATGGGTTACTTGCTCTTAAGATGGTGAACTAGCACCCTAATTCTGAATAAAAGATCACAGTTTGCTGTTCGGACTGAAGAACAACAATTGAAATGTCTTGAAGGAAGAGGAGGTAACTGGTGCTTCCTGATCACCTGATTCCCTGATTACAGGGATTCCGTGCAGAGGTTACCTTTTGCTTGCTAGGACGGCATGCGGTTCTTCCAATGGACCAATTGCTTCTCTACTAGCCTTGTTATCAGGAATTTCCATCTTTTGTTAACAGAACAACCTAACTGCATTCCAGCATTCTATACGTTGCACTGTTTTACAGACCTGGTTTGGTGATTAATTTTATAACAAAACACAACTACAGAATTAGTCTATTCTGTGTGTAGGCAAAGCACAATGAGACTTGGGGCGGGTCTCTTTTTGCCTTTAAGTAAACCTTTCTTGTTTGCAGGCACAAGTCACTTTTTACTGCCTGATGAGCAAGGATGGGCAACTAGTGATGAAAAACGTATTAGTTGTACCTTATGTTGCCACTCACCTCCAGTTTTTGTTTTCTGCTCCAGGCCTGCATAGGGGAACTTGAATTACTGGTTTTTTGTTTGTTTGTTGTTGTTATAAATATAATTCTTAGGAAAAAGTGAAATGCTAAATTCTCATGTAACACTGTAAAAATGAATCAGCCATTTTAAAAGAAGCTTATATTGAATTATTTTGGCCTTGGCAAAATATCATGCAATACACACACACACACTTTAATAATTACTGTTGTGGAATGGATGGAAATATTTCCCAGAGATACAGTCAGATGGACTATAGCCAAACAACTCTAGAGGCTTGTATTGATAGCAGCATCAGCACATTGAGGTGCATTGTCCTCCTCAGGAGTGCTGCTCAATATCTAAGGAATTCCAAATGTTCAACATAGGCACAACTTGTTTCTTACCACAAAAAAGAGAGTTATTAATTGATTGCATCTTTACAATGCAGACATTCATAGACACACATCTAAAGTGAAAAAACTGGAATTTTGATTGCTTTCATTTACTTTGAAAGAATGGTCAGCATTATGATCCAGGTTTACCCTTCGCATTGCTGCAAAATGAAGCATGTCACCTTATCATATAATAAAAATCGGGAGGCCAAAGTGTTACATTCTGTAGTAATGCAAACTGCACTTGCATATTTTCATTACTTGGTTCAAAGATGAGTACTGCTATATTGCTGCACAGTACGATCCCTCCCTTTTCTCTCTTGGTTACCATGGGTAACACACATTAGAATGGATTAGCTGCAGTACCTGAACACACCTCATTGTTCTGGGTGTAATCCAGAGAAAATGAGGAGTGGCAAAATGCTGTGTAAAGGCAACTATTTATGATGTGCAGCAATGGGAGGTGCTTTCCCCTTAGTCATAAGACTTAGTGCCATCACGGTATTAGAACCAGCATTTGTAGCTTGATAACTGTACAAGCACAGTGGAGGATGGAATGGTCCCTTGAAAAAACAAGCTTGGCCCATTTTTCTAATCGCAGCTGTTTCTCTTCTGCTCACAGAAATGGAGCTGGACAGAGGAATGTTACTTTATATATTTGAAACATGTATGCTGCACTTTGTTAACATTGAAGGTGATGTGGATGGGTAGGCAAACTAAGGCCCGGGGGCTGGAGCCAGCCCAATCGCCTTCTCAGTCCGGCCCGCGGACAGTCCATGAATCAGCATGTTTTTACATGAGCAGAATGTGTGCTTTTATTTAAAATGCATCTCTGGGTTATTTGTGGGGCCTGCCTGGTGTTTTTACATGAGTAGAATGTGTGCTTTTATTTAAAATGCATCTCTGGGTTATTTGTGGGGCATAGGAATGCGTTCCTTTTACAGTGGTACCTCGGGTTAAGAACTTAATTCGTTCTGGAGGTCCGTTCTTAACTTGAAACTGTTCTTAACCTGAAGCACCACTTTAGCTAATGGGGCCTCCTGCTGCCGCCGCGCTGCCAGAGCACGATTTCTGTTCTCATCCTGAAGCAAAGTTCTTAACCTGAGGTACTATTTCTGGGTTAGCGGAGTCTGTAACCTGAAGTGTATGTAACCTGAAGCGTATGTAACCTGAGGTACGACTGTATTTATTTTTTCAGAATATAGTCCGGCCCCCCCACAAGGTCTGAGGGACAGTGGACCGGCCCCCTGCTGAAAAAGTTTGCTGTCCCTTGATATAAAAACACATGAAAAGACAGCTGTGGGTACAAGGAACCTTAAGAGTGAAGAAGAGGAGGGACATCTTTATTTGGAGGTGGGGTGCTTGGCATGCAGAAAGTCCTAGGTTCAATCCCAAACATCTCCAAGTAAGGCTGAAAAGGACTCCTCGAAACTCTTGAACACTGCTGCCAGTCAGTGTCGACAATCCTGAACTAGATGGATCAATGGTAGGATTAGGTGTAAGACAGTTTCCTTTGCTCCTCTGCCTAAACTGGAAGCAAAGAAAATTTTGTTATTTAGTGCGGAACAAGCATCCTAAGAGTTGTGAATGCTGACCTCTATGCTAGAACGTATCTCATCTTGGCTGTGAGACCTGGAATACCTGCTCTTGGCATTGCAGGCCTTTTTTCTGCCTGGTCTGGGGGGAGGGGGCTGACTGACTCCAGCTACAAAAGCTGAGGCTGCTGAAGAGGTCAGAGACCATCTTGGCTGTTTCTTAGCGCAGACCCAGGTCATTGAGTCTGAGCTTCCACAGCTGTGGAACCACAATTGGCAGGATTAGCAGCAACAGCAACAGGTATGTTCTATGCTGATGATAATATTTTATTGTCTTGCTAACTATGCTGTTTTAAATGTGTATTTTGTATTTGACTTTCTCTAGTAATGTTTTCTTTTGAAATGTTAAGGTCTTTGTGTTTGTTAATTTTGCTGCTTTAAACGTGCATTCTGTATGTGACCTCCTTCGTAATGTTTTCTTTTGAGATCTTTAAGGCAATGTTTTAGTTTCCTGTTAATTATGCTGCTTTGAATGTACACATTATATTTTACTTTCTTCTGTAATGTTATCTTCTGGATTGTTTTATTTGATGTTTTAATGTTTGAGAATTTTTTTCCTTAAAAATAAAGAAGTGGTATAGAAATGAAATGAACAATAATAACAATCCAAGTCAATATTCTTCATGAAATATATTGGATTCCCATGTGGACTTCCTGGGTACAAAACGTTCAGAAAATGCTGGATTACGTTACATGCTTTAAGGGAAAACTCCTTAAAGATGTTACACTGGAACAGATATTACAAAGAACACCATAGAATAGTTATTGTCAGGGCTGCCTCAGGTCTCAGCTCACAAAAGACCAACGCCAAGTTCTTCTTATATACAAAGGTATTTATTGGAGTTCATTGTTTGCTTCACATCCGAGGCGCGCAGCCCCACGTCTGTTACGCTTAGACCGTTGAAGTCCCCTCTGAGTCAGTCCCTCCCCTGCACCAGTTTAAGAGGCTTGCGCTGCTCCACCTTTTCCTCTCTTTCCTTTTCCGCAGGGTCTTCCTGCCCGCTGGGGTTTCGCCCCTCCTGGATTCCCCTGACGCGGAATCCCCAGATTGCTCTTCCCCCCTCCTGCGGGCTTTGGGACCTGGCTCCTCCTCCGGGCTCCCTGTACTTCCGCGCGCCTCCACATTTGAACTTGGCGCGCGCGCCCAACCTCTAACCTTCCTCTTGACAGTTACACTACTCCCTTCACTACTCCCCTCCCCTTCCGGGAGGGTGGCTTGCTCCGACCTCCCTCCCTTCTCTGCTGCCGGAGCTGCTTCCCCTGATACACTGGAACCTCCACCGCCGGCGCTGGAGTCTGGCGGGGGGGCTGGGCCTGACGCCCAGCTGCCCCGTGGGGATCCCCGCTGGCCCCCTGCTCCTGACACGTCCCCCTGGGGCTCCCTGGCCTTGACCACCGGCGCCCCTTCTGGGAATCCTCTGATCCGCTGGAAAGACTCATGGAATCTCTTGAGTCATTGTCATCCTCTTCCTCGCTGTCCTGGGATTCATCCCCATCGCTCTCCATCTCCTGCCTACCCTGTGCCTCTGTCCCTGAACCCCTGACAGTTATTTTCATTCTAAAGCCTTTATTTCTAATCTCATGCATGGTGGAACAGTCTCATTTACAACTGGAGCAAAAATAA